GAGGACCAGGGGACCACAGGACCAGACAACCAGCAGACCACAGGACCAGGGGGCCACAGGACCAAGGACCAGAGGTCTAGGGGACCGCATGCACCAGGGACCCTTGGCCGCACCTCGCAAACAAGGGTTGGCCGCACCTTGGAAAAAAAACCCAGGGCCCTCCTAAGCCTTAAACCCTAAACCGCTCCAATTGCAAAGGGAGGTCCTTTTCCAACAATCCTTAATAGTATATCTATAATCAGGAACTCTGCCAATTATATTGGTAATTCTTTAGGCTGCTTTTTAGGCGGCTGTGAGACTACCAGATGCATCACAGCTGCAACTCTCGAAAGTCGTGGTACATGCTTGGAGCAATGGTTCCGCGCAGGGCAGTCTTACGGAAGGCTGTCTTGCGCCTTGTGCTTAGGTCCACGTGCCGTGCAACCACCCACTCAGACTGTCTCCACCTGGAAATCCCTGTCGAAGCAAAACTACTCGGGAATTGAAGCCACGTGAGAGAAGCAATAAACAAATATCTCATGAACCGGCTTGTCACAGGGTCTGGTGGGAGGGTGTTGCTGCGGTGCGTGCGAATTTGCGTTGAGCCACTCTGGCTGCGACCGTCACACAATCTTCGGCATATAGGCTTCGGATCTAGAATATAGGTTCTCAGGAACACAAGAGGTAACGCCACTATGAGATCCCACCACCAAGACTACCAAAGCCAGTGCAACCACCACAGCGACGTCAACGACGACCAATACCGAAGATGCTACTAAGTTCTACTGCTTACTACTACGTACCACTCCTCCTCCTCCTCCCACCCTCAACGCTAAAGCCTCAACCCTAAACCCTAAACTCTACACTCCTACTGCTGCTACTACAGAGGCAACCACTTCGAGGCCAAGGATATGATCCGAGGGACCGGGGTGATCGGCCTGCAGCTGTCCAGAGGGTCCCCAAAAAACACAACCCTGTGAATCATGGAGTTTCGGGCTTAGGGTTTGGGGTTTAGGTTTAGGGTTTAGGGTTTAGGATTTAAGGTTTAGGGTTTAGGGTTTAGGATTAATTCAGCTCAGTACCTTCATGATTTGAGCCCTAGGACGGTAATATAGGGGCCTTAATAATTAGAACAAGGTTTTTGGGGCCATTATACTATAATTATATATATATATATGTATATATACAGTACAGGTATTTATTTCGGCCCCTACATTAATATGCTTCGTGTGTCATCAAAAAACTTATGAAACTCAGCCATGACCACAAGCCCAAGTAAGAATAATAACAACAACAGCAGTTCCTCGGATGATAACAACAGTTCATAGAAGTACTATGCGGCAACTAATGGTAAGAGTCAGGGCAGCATCAGCTGTTCTTCGAATATGCCTACCCTAAACCCTAAACCGTGCCTAGCTATCGAGGCATCCCGAAACAGTCCCCGGCCGCAGAGTACGCTTGGTCTAAACACCTTCAGCTCATGAACTCTAAACCCTGCAAAAACCCTAAGCTTTTGGAAGTCCCGAATCCTTCGGCCCTGAACCCTAAATCCTAAGCCCTAAGCCCTAAACGCTAAACCCTAAACCCTGAGCTTTAAACCCTAAACCACTAAACCACTAAACCCCTAACCACTAAACCCAAAGCCCTGAAGCCGAAACCCCAAACCTCGAGGCCCATGCACTGGGAGGGGAAGACCCAGCAGCAGAACGGCTGTGCCTCGCTTGGCCTCATACCGCGGACATGTAGGGCTTTAGGGCTTGAGGTTGTATGGCTTTAAGGCTTTAGGGCTTAGGGCTTAGGGCTTTAAGGGCTTATAAGGGCTTATGTTTTTTATGGTCATCACGATATGACGTTTTCGAACCATAGCTTTGCCTGCCCGAAGAAGAGCTTATGAATATATTTCACCCGTGTCGCCAAACGCAACTCACCGCACGGAACAAAGCGACATTTCCAGTTGAGCATCAGTTCCGCGATGGAGAGTAGAAACACCAAAAATCTGTCAAAGCACAGAGCTAACAAACCCTAAACTTTAGGCCCTAAACCCTAAACCCGAAATCTCAACAAACTCGAACTGTGGGCCGAACTCCAGATCCCTAAACCCTAAGCCCTAAAACCCTAAACCCTAAACCCTAAACCCTAAACCCTAAGCCCTAAACCCCAAACCCTAAACCCCAAACCCTAAAACCATAAACCCTAAACACCAAGCGCGAAGTCTCAACCCTCGAGCCTTGAGCCAAAAGCTTCATACCCTACTATTGGGGCCTTAGGAATTACATATATACTACTTCGGGGGGCCTTAATATGGTTTAGGGTTTAGGGGTTTAGGGTTTGGGGGTTTAGGGTGTAGGGTTTTATTGGGCCCCAAAACCCTATTCTGATTATTAAGGCCCCTACATTATAGACCTGAAACCCCTTACGTCGTGGGCTTATTTGCGACATGCTGGTTTCATCCAACTCATCGGGGTAATCTGTCGAGGACATCGACACCGCCGGCAAGCCGGCAAACTTAAACTGCCTTCGTTAGGTTTAGGGTTTAGGGTTTAGGGTTTAGGGTTTAGGGTTTAGGGTTTAGGGTTTCCAGGCTTTTAGGTCTTCGGGTATTCGGCGCCATGAGAGTTGAGGACTGCGCAACTCAAGATACCCAACCAGCTGAAGCTTCTCCACCCAAAGCGCTGAAGCCTTGAAAGAAGCATTTGCGATATAGGGGCATTAAGAATTTCAATAGGTCCCATTATACCATAAGTCTAATAAGGAACCCCCAAGCTAGTAAAGGCAATTATTTAGGCCCCTATATTATGCCTGTACAGTCAAGGGATATCCGAGCAAAACCTTGCTCTCCGATACTCCATTCGCTTCGGCTGTAGTACAGAAATCTGCTTGCCGTCATGAATACGGGGGTAACATAGGGTGTAGGGTTTGGGGTTTAGGGTATAGTCATAATAAGGAACCCAGAAAGCAGTATAGGTAAAAATCGCCTCGGCCCCGGCCGAAGCGGTCAGAGGTTCCTGTTCGGATTTCCTCTATTCCCCACCTCTTAATCCCCTCCCAGTGACCCCCACCCCTAAACCCTAAACCCTAAACCTTAAACCCTAACCCATAAACCCTAAACCCTAAAACCTAAACCCTAAACCCTAAACCCTAAACCCTAAAACCCCTAAACCCTAAAAGCCCTAATTAAGCCCTAGCCACTCTAGTGATACAGCGCAGTGGCCTCAGCCTCGAGCTCTCCCCATTGCCGGCGCACCTGCGAACCCAGAGACTCCAATACCTCTTAGTACAAAACAGGTGGATTGTGGGTTTGGGGTTTAGGGCTTTAGGGAGTAGGATCCCTAATAAGATTTAAGGTATATTCCTTAATTAAGGAATATACCTTAAACTGTAGTAGGATCCCTAATAAAATAAGATTCTGTGGCTTTCTCGGCTGCAGCTTGGGCTTCGGGGCTTAGGGGTTTAGGGTTCACGGTTTAGGGTGGTTTTAGGATTTAGGGTTTACGGTTTAAGGGGGGTTTTAGGATTTAGGGTTTAGGGTCTAGGGGGGTTTTAGGATTTAGGGGCTAAGGCTTTTAGGTTAAGGGGTTTGGGACTCTCGGGTCTGGTGTGTTTAGGGTTTAGGACTTAGGAACTTAAGGCTTGGGGCGTTTAGGGCTTAGGACTTAGGAATTTGAGGTTTAGGGCGTTTAGGGTTTAGGACTTAGGACTTTGAGGTTTAGGACGTTTAGGGTTTAGGACTTAGGAATTTAAGGTTTGGGGTTTTGGGTGTGAGGTTTAGGACTTAGGATTTTAGGGTTTAGGGTTTAGGGTCTGGGGTTTAGGACTTTGGAATTTAAGGTTTAGGGTCTGGGGTTTAGGACTTAGGAATTATTTTTTAGGTTTAGGATTTACTATTAAAAAATGCCGAAGTGGAAGGACTCCTTAAGTTTCGGTCTCCAGCCATCAGCATTTTGCGGGTGTCGGAGTGGAGCCACGCACACTCGGAAGCCACAGACGGCACAGCCCCAACAAGCACTTCAGAGGGCTCACTCATTCGGAGGTTTGGTTCTGTGAGGTGGCAGAAATGGCGAGAGTGGAAGCATTGCTGAACATGCTCAGCAAGAGCAAGCATCAAAAAACACATCACGACTACGACTACGACAGCCACAACTCCTGCGAGTAAGTAATGATCATGGTACGGAAAACTATGAAAGATGACGATAGTAACGGGCGCATTAGCACCAGTAGATCTTGGTGCGCCCGATACAAAGTACTTCTCGCTGCAGCCCGCTTGGCGCCAGAAACCCGCCTCAAAAGACTCAGCCCAAGACTAAATCTAGCTGTGGCTGATTAGGGGTGGGTTGATTAGAAGTCACATGGACAAATGCAACAGGATGGGTGCCCTTAACCCTGGTGCTTTTGTTCTTTCTCTCTGTCTCTCTCTCTCTCTCTCTCTCCCCGGTTTGGATAGGAGGCGTTGGCCAGATCTTTTTGGCGCGTAGGGCTGTCAAGGTTTCTGAGGTTTATAAGTTTAACTGGTTCCCTGTTGCTGATCCTTATTGGAGTTTATGATAGCATTGGCGTTTATGATAGCAAACATGTAAATTTGTACCCAACAAGGACCAGTAATGTGTAGGCCGCAAGTTTCGGAGATCGATGCCCTAAACCCTAAACCCCCAACCCCAAACCCCTAAACCGCATCTCTCCCGCTATTTGACCGGATCTCTGATAACGACCAAACTGCAGACCCTCTGATCGGAAGGGGTCCGATGTAGGCTTTAGGCTTTAGGCTTGAGGTTTTAGGCTTTAGGGTTTAGGCTTTCGGGTTTAGGCTTTAGGCTTTAGGGTTTAGGCTTTAGGGTTTAGGGAGGGTGTGTTGGATTTCGGGTTTTGGGTGCTGCTTAGGCTCTTCGGTTTAGTGGGTTCGGGTTCGGCTTTGAACCCTGCGCCCCGAAACCCTAATCCCCTAGGGTTTAGGGTTTAGGGTTTAACCCTGAACCCTAAACCCTAAATCAGCCCTAGAATCCCCTAAAAACCCTCCGAAGCCCCCAACCCCAAACACGTAAGCCCTGAGGCCTAATCACCCCCTAAAACCCTGAAGACCTAAACCCAAATCCCCAAAACCCTCAAACCCCAAAACCCTAACATCCCAAAACCCTAAACCCTAAACCCTAAACCCCAAATCCCTAAACTCCCAAAGCCCTAACATCCCCGAACCCGAGGCTTGGCAGATCGTCTCAACATCGGATGCCGACCTCTGCAGCAGGTCCAGCGAAGAGCCTCTCATAGGTCCTGAGCCCTAAACCCCTAACGCCTAAAACCCTAAAACCCTAAACCCTAAACCCTAAACCCTAAACCCTAAAACCCTAAACCCCTAAACCCTAAAGCCCCTAAACCCTAAACCCCTAAACCCCGAAGGTTTCAGAGCCACAAGACGGTGCTGAAGCGTAGTGGGGGGTCGCCTTCCAGGGCTCCTGGCAGGGTTCCATAAGAGTTCCCTTAAGGGATCTATAAGGATTCAAAAAGGCTTCTATAAGGATACTTATGACGAGGATTCTACAAGGGTTGTATAAGGATACTATAAGGGTTCTATAAGGGTACTATATTGTAGGGTTTGGGGGTGTGTTGGCCTAGGGCTTGGGGTTTCAGGGTTTTGGGACGGTTTATGATCCCTAAACCCTAAACCCTAAACCCTAAAACCTGATTTTATGGTTTGGGGGGTAAGTAACGGGTTTAGGGCTTCAGGATTACGAGGGGTGTAGGGTAAACCCCCGGGAGATGGGGGAAGCCCTAGGTCCTATAAGCCCCAAACCCCAAAATTAAAGGAAACTACAAGTGGGGAGTTTAGGGTATATAGGGCTTCTATACGGCTTCTATACGGTATATAGACATTGTATAAGGCTGCTATAACGGTAACTACTCACCTGAAAATGTACTAGACAAAAGCCCTAACACTCCAGACACCGACACCGCAAGCAACATAAGCAACAACGTAAGCCATGAACCCTTATATACCTGTCTATATAGTCTCATACAACCCCCTATAGAACCCCAAGGGTCCCTTTAAGGGTCCCTCCTTGAGTCCCTTGACTATAAGGATCAGAGTCTGACGGCTAAGAGAACCTGGGTTCCTGTATAAGGCCTTAGGCTTTGGGGTTCAGGGTTTGAGGTTTAGGGTTTAGGGTTTAGGGTTTAGGCTTTGGGGTTTAGGGTTTAGGGTTTGGGGTTTCAGGGTTTGGGGTTTAGGGTTCAGGGTGTCGGGTTTAGGTTTAGGGAATTGGGGTTTTGGGGCTTTGGGGATTTTTCAGGCTTTGGCCGCAGACTTCGGAGGGTTAGAGAGGGCTTGGGGTCTGGATTTCGCCTTGCGGGCTGGTAGGCTTCAGGCTGTCTGGTGCTCAGTAGGGAATGGGGGAATAGATCCCTATGGTAGTCCCTTAAGGTCCCTTATAGTAGTCCCTATAAATGGGTTATAGGGACTACTATAAGGGACCTTGAGGGACTATTCCCTACTAGGCACCAGACAGGCTGACTTAAAGGTTCAGGGCCTAGCTAAGGGTTATAACCCACGGCCATCCCGAAAAAGTGTTCCGACGACCCCTTGCGTTTAGGGCTTAGGGGTTTAGGGTTAGCTGCCGGGCAAGGCCACCTGCCTTGGTGGGCTTCACCGTCGTTCAGGGTTTAGAGTTCCAGGATTAAGGTGTAGGGCCGTGTTCGGAGAGGAGAACAAATGTGGAGAATTCTGGTAGCGGCTGACCGGCTTCAGAAGTCTTTTTCGGAGAAACAAGCGCTGAAGGCTTTGAGAGTGACAGTTCCTCAAGCGAATTTCTGGGCTCCATATACCTACGAAAAAAATAGGCCGTTTCTGCAACCATACACCTGCGTTGCAGCCGACAGTTGCCCTCAGCCACACAGCTAAGTTTCGGGCATGGTCAGGTCCTTCGCGACGCAAGTGCTGACCTGGGGCACACACTGAATGGAAACCATCCACCCCTGCTTGGCTGTCTGGTGCTTAGTAGGGAATGAGGGAATAGATCCCTATGGTAGTCCCTTAAGGTCCCTTATAAAGGTCCCTATAAATGGGTTATAGGGACTACTATAAGGGAGCTTGAGGGACTATCATAGGGATCCATTCCCCCATTCCCTACTAAGCACCAGACAGACGATCCTCCTCGAAGGCTCCGGGTTTTGGAAGACGGTAGCTCTCAGTATGGCCCTTTTGCTTAAGACTAAATGCCTCTCGCAACGGTATAGATTAATGTCGGACCTAGGTAAGTACGGTACGTAGCATACAGAACACGGCTTATCATGAACAGAATCATGGTACTCAAGCCTAAAGCCTGTTTTGAACTCTGAACCCTATAGCCTACACCGTACCAAAGGTTCTGACCACAACCCAGTTGATCAGCTCACTGGCTTGAAAAGACGCTAGCCTATCAAACGCGACGGCATTCTGCAACCCCCCAGAAGGGTTACAGGGGAACTACTCATACTGCCACCCTCAACCCCACGAACAGTGAATAATGCTGACGACAACAAGTGCAATGTCTGAAATGACTAACAACTATTCTGATCATCATCATTTTTGTAACCAAAGTCATCATCAACATCATATTCATCATCATTTCGGTCATCTAAGTCGTCATCATCAACATCACCATCACC